TGTTACAGTTATCAGGATTTAATACACGCAGTGAAAAATTTGCAATGAAGAGGTGTGGCTGACCTTATTGCATATGCAATTGTAGGAGTTTTACTTTCAGAAGAAACATTTATGGGAGTATTTAAATGAATCACACAACATGATTTACTAAGGTTTGCCGTAGTCAGTTTACTGGTATTTGCACCAATTATGTAATCCCTTAAACTAGCATGTCTTAACTCAGTTTGCACCTGTGTTGTTAGATTACACAGACATTGATGATTGATTAGAAATGATCTGACTGTGTCAGTGTCACCCGCAGGACTATCCACACTCTAAAAAATGCTGGGTTAAATGCAACCCATTGTTGGGTAAAATATGGACAAACCCAGCGATTGGGTTGTTTTGACCCAGCATTTGGGTTACTACCCAGAAGGTTGGGTTGGGACCTGGATTGATTTGATGGCGCCGCAAATGGCAGCCAGGATGCTGAGCTCAACGATTCTTCTATTGCTTTTGTTTGTTTGTTCTGTGTTTTGTCATTCTTCTTCTATAAGTTTTACCAGAGACGAACTCCTTAACATTAAGCAGCACACCCCAGACAATATTTTTCCGGTTTTTGATTATTCGGACGTTTTGTTGGACATTCTAGTCGGAGGTACAGCGGTGTTGTTCAAACACGCGTGCAGACGCAGAAGAGGGAAACGCGCCGGCGCCCTGGTGAAGCTCCGCGCGCGCGGCTTTCAGACTGCGCTCCCAAGCATTCAGAAGTTAATCAACGGATTAACTTCTTCTCCTCACCCGCACCAACAAGGACTTTTCAAACTCTGCTGCACTGTGCTTCACTGAAACCTGGCTGAGTGAAGCCATTCCGGACAACGCGCTTCATCTGCCGGGCTTCCAGCTGTTCAGAGCGGATCGCATCGCGGAGTTAACGGGGAAAACCAGAGGTGGTGGATTGTGTTTCTACATCAACGAAAGTTGGTGTTCAGATGTAACAACGCTGAAAAAGGTATGCTGTCCTAATTTAGAGGCACTCATCATAAACTGTAAACCGTGCGGGAGTTTTCCTCTTTCATTCTTGTGAATGTGTACGTGCCTCCGGACGCGTGCGTGAGCGCCGCGATGCAACAGCTGGCCGAACAAATAACTGAAATGGAGCAAAGGTACCCAGACTCTATTTTAATCATTCTTGGAGACTTTAACAAATCAAATCTCTCCCGTGAACTGCCAAAATACAAGCAGCACATTACGTGTCCACCAGAGACAGCACTATTTTGGATCACTGTTACACAGCAATAAAGGATGCATATCACTCTGTCCCACGAGCAGCTTTGGGGCTCTCTGATCACTGTTTAGTTCATCTAATACCGACCTACAGGCAGAAACTGAAATCAGCTAAACCTGTATTAAGGACTGTAAAAAGATGGACTAATGAAGCAGAGCAGGATTTACAAGCTTGTTTTGACCTCACTGATTGGAGCGTCTTTGAAGCTGCTGCCACCGGTCTGGACGAGCTCACAGAGACTGTAACATCTTATATCAGTTTCTGTGAAGACATGTGCATTCCTACCAGGACTCACTTAACTTACAACAATGACAAACCATGGTTCACTGCAAAACTCAGACAGCTCCGTCAGGCCAAAGAAGATGCTCACAGGAAGGGGGATAATGTCTTCCAATCGCTGGGTCTGTCCATATTTTACCCAATGCTGGGTTGTATTTAACCCAGCATTTTTTAGAGTTGTGTTCTCACATTAATTTGCCCCGTTTAGTAAATCTGGCTCTATGTGGTCTGACAGAGTGTTTGCTGGATAGTAATGCATGTGTTTTGAGGGTGTGCAGAGAACCGGGCCAGTTTGACATCAAGTGGAAAAATGGCAAATTGGATTTCTGAAAGCCATTGGTCTCTCATTTAGGTGAGACAACAGCGTGCCAAGAAGACAACTAAACCGGGCCAGTTTGACATCAAGTGGAAAAATGGCAAATTGGATTTCTGAAAGCCACTGGTCTCTCATTTAGGTGAGACAACAGCGTGCCAAGAAGACAACTGCAGCACTGACCTTTTGATGACAAATAAAAGCATGGCCTCCAGGCCTGATGTTTGCTAACAGCAGCTTTGTGCCACTTCTCCGGCATTGTTACTGTAACAATGGCTCTTTGTTCTGTTATACAAGCGATCATGAATTTGTGCAGCCTCCCATATGCCAGCTCACGATGACTGTTGACAGGCAGAAATCGCTTGTATGCCGCTGTCATCCGTGTGTCCTCAGGCTTCGGCACGAGTTTGCGACTAGGTCTGGGCTTGGTTCTTAAAGGTTTTTGAAGATAGCTGTCTGTCTTAACTCTTTCTTTTTGTAACATTAGGTCTGGTCCATTTTTGTATAGCATCATAATGTTTCTGCTAAGTTACTTTTCAAAACAAAAACAAGTGTCATTTATAATATGTTCTATGCTCATACATTAAAAATGCAAGAAGAGTAACAGTTGCAACATGCAGCTTTTGTTTGTCTACTCTCCAATAATAAGTGTTTTAAATGAACTGGAGTCTGGTCTGACTCTGTATTTTGCTCATCTCGCTCTTGACCAGAAAGAGGAAAAATAGTGATATTACTGCTGATTTGGCCATTCCTTTATATTGATTAAATATCCAGCTCAACTTTTTTTCTTTTGTAAGCTACAGCAGTTCTATACTTACCTATAGTCTTCTATTGGCTGTGTTAAACCTCCAGGTGTTCAGGTGAAAGAAGGAAGTTCATTGAACGTTTTGAAACAAACACCCAAGAATATTTGGAAATGTACAAATGATAAGTAAGGTGAACCAGTGGCACTTTTGTATTCTTAATGCACATTTTAGGTGAACTGCGCTGTGGTCTGAACCTGAAATAATTGGAGTGCATTTGGAGAATTCACATATAAGCAGGGGTGCACATATGTTTTTCAGTCTGGTTCTCATGAGAGCACCTGGAGATTTGAGTTGGTGCTGCTCACACTGTACATTAAATATTGCTATAGAAAATCATTAATGGTAGTAATAATAGCGTTATTGCACTTTATTCAGTTGGTTTATTTCTAAAGTAATAAATAAAGTGTAACAATACTATTATATTTGTAAATAAAAATGAGTATTAAAGGTCCCATGGCATGAAAATGTTTTTTAACATTAGTATGAGTTCCCCTAGCCTGCCTATGGTCCCCCAGTGGCTAGAAATGGCGATAGGTGTAAACCGAGCCCTGGGTATCCTGCTTCGCCTTTGAGAAAATGAAAGCTCAGATGGCCCAATCTGGAATCTTCCCTTTATGTCGTCATACGGGGAAAGGTTACCTCCCCTTTCTCTGCTTTGCCCGCCCAGAGAATTTGGCCCGCCCATGAGAAAATGAGCTACTACCGTGCGAGGCGAGCGCAATACTTTTTTTCCTCGAGAGACATTATGGCTTTTAAACGAGCAAAGCATGGCAGTTGCCCCGCCTCTCTCCTCCTCATTAGCATTTAAAGCTACAGACACAGAAATGGCACGTCCTAAGGAAAGCTCATTGTGGGACTGGCTCGTAGTGGCTGAAATTCTGCACCAAGGCTGAATTTCGGGAAAGAGACTTCAGATACAGTACTAGGGACCACTTAGGCCTATATAAAAGCATCTAAAAAGCAGCATGTCATGGGACCTTTAAATAAAAATACAATTATTTTACTGTACACTTAAAAAATACAATGCTAATATTTACTTTTTTTTATGTGAATTTTCAAAATTTTCAAACCTAAAATCAGCAAGCTTTTATTTTGGCGGGTTGCCAGCAAGTAAGTATATGCACTTTGAATGGAAATCTTACACAGTGTTACAGATAGTTGGTCTAAAACAGTGATTGTGCATTAACAGATGTCAACCGTGTCAGTACGCAAATGATCGGTCTAAACTTACCTACCCTATTGGTGGGCGGCGCTAAACAGGCAGTGATGTAGAATCGGTGGGCGGGGCTAAACAGGCAGTGATGTAGAAGCAGTCGTTGATCATCTTCTGTGGAGGTGGTGATTATCCACACTATTACATCATAGAGTAGAACATTCCACAAGCTGTCGTTGTGACAGACTGCCTTCAGTATCAGCTGTTTTTAGAGTAAAAACAAAGTTTTGAGTTCTGAAACTTACAGGATATTGACCTCTTATATGTCAAAAAAATCAAGGGAATTTTGCAACTGGAGCGCTAAATGAGTTAATTCATCAGAGGATCAGATATGCTGCTGTTTTGGCTCATTTTGAGCCGGAGTGACTGCCAGGCGTCCGAAAGTGAGTTTTGATTGAGTAACTTGTAGATCTGTGCTGCTTGAGCCACGAACTGTTTCAGATGATTCAGTCCAATTCAGTGAACTGGTTCAACTAGTTTACCAAAAAGAATCGGTTCAAAAGAATGATTCGTTCACGAACTGAACATCACTCTGGACCATTTGCCGGAGGTTCTGGATTTCAGGCAATAATGTTGTAAATAATGTTCAGTTTCTTGCACAGACTAATTATTTCACTTCATAAGACCCCAATATATCGTTAGGAGCCACAGGTATTAATTTTGTGTTCCTTGATATGATTTTTTTTTGTTTGTTAAATGGGCAGCTGCTGATCGGCATTTTATGAATGGTTTCAACTAAAAATTGTTGTTACTTTTCTATTGAAGAAAATGTCTTGAGGGTGAATAATTAACAGCAAATTTTGGGGGAACTATCCCTTTAACACATGCAAAGTCACACTGCATTGAAACCAATCACATTCAGATCTGCTTTCATTCTGGTGTGCAATGCACACATTTCACAGTCCAATTAGTCCCAGATGTTTTTTTGTTTGAAAAGCCACTTCACTTATTAGAAATGTGTCACAAATCATAGTAAAGTCGGTCACAATTTTGCAACTTAACCTGCTTTTAAACAATATGTGAAAACCACCATACAAGAAAGAGTTTTGCGTCTTCAGGTCACATACAGTATAAAGAGGTCCAGTATAAAGATGTTGACTGTCTCAATGTCTCTCTCGTCAGAGTTCAGAGACCCCTGCTGTCACCCAGCCTGCGCCATCGGCCACAATGAATGCCAAATCGGTCCTCAACAAGGTGATCTTTCTTCCCAACGACGAGAGGCTGCTGGCAGTCGTGCAGGTGAAGAGGAGGACGAAGAAAAAGATCCCGTTTTTAGCTACCGGAGGCCCTGGTGACTACACCACATTCATTTGCTTATCAGGTAACGTCTTACTGCACCACATCCCTCATTAGTGCTGTTTCACCATCACTGCTGCTCTTGTTAAGGGTCAGTGATTTGATCAAACTCCCAGCACTAACTAACTTCTCCAACACCTTTGAGCTGCAGGCATGAATCATTTCTCAAATCATGTTTATTTATAATTGGTACTTGATACTTGAATTTAGGTTAGCATGGGGATTTTAGTATAACTGAGATACTTTACATTTTTTATTAATATTTAGAAATTTATGTATTTATATTTTCTGTTATTATTTTAGTTCTAGTTTTAGTTTTTTTTAGTTTTTGTTTTTGTTGTCTTTTCTTTCTTTCTTTTTTTAAAATAGTTTTATATAGTTTTTATTTTAATTATGCAGCTTTAGTTATTTTGTACATCAGGCTGAACTAAATGACAATGAGAAATATTGCCTTGGCAACTGGACAGTGTCTTTTATGTATTTTATTTGATCTAAGTTTCTTAAGCATCAACTTAAGTATTTTAAGTAGCAAGTAAAATATTTGTGCTTGTTTGTAGGGCTGCACAATTTGGCAAAAATTTGTATGATCATATATTTAATATGATTATAAATGATGATGATGATTTTTATTAAATCTAAAAATTACTAAATAAAAACAAAATAAGTAATTTACTCTTGTAGTAATTCACTGTAAAATAAAAAATGTAGTATTTAAAATATAATATTTATTGTATACAATATAAGAAAAATAGTAAATCATAAGAAATACAAAATAATAATAATAATAATAATTTTTTACATTGCAACTGGAAAAATTACAAAACTAATATTTAATTTCTTAGTTCTTAATTTCTATATTTACATTTTTTCATATGTTGATTAGGGCTTCTCATTGCAATTTTGGGAAGATGGTTGGTTCAGGTTGCGTTTCCAAATGCATATTGTCAGAAGTTTTCTTTAGTAGAAATCTTTCTTGTCTAGAATGAGCTGCTAAGTGGACCAGACTTTATGGCTATAGTCAGAAGTGTGGTTCTGCGAGACTTCAGAAGTATTTATACCGTCTGCGATCTGCCCGCTTGTGACTGATAACACCTGTGTTCCTGAACTCTCAATGATCATCATGAGGAAATCACTGCTCTCCAAAAACTATTACTACGATGAGTGTGAGTCAAGTGGAGGCGTTTCCTCCCTGCCGGTGCCAACACACAGTCTCCTTCCAACTGTGAATCATGGTGGAGGGAATAGATGTTGTTGGTGTGCTGAGCGCCTCAGGGCCTCGACTGCTCGCCGTTACTGCGGACTAATGAATTCCAAACGCTGCTGCAGAAAGTGTGTGTGTTTCTGTGAACTCCGATTCAAAGGAAGTTGAGTAAGTCCTGAGCTCACTACCAATGAAATGTAGCACTGTTATCGAGATATCAGTATCATTAAAGAGGTGGCTGACTGTTTTTTTTCTAGGCTTGATTGTTTATGGGGTGGAGTCTAACATGTGTTAATGCGTCGTTTTTAAAAAACGCATTTTCACATAATTTACCTTTATTCTGCATTGCTCTGTCCCTTCTCTGATGAACGCTCTGATGATTTCCTGGTTTTATGAAGCCCCTCCCTCAGAAATACGCAATGGGCTCAGATTGGTTAGCTGGCCCAGTGTGTCGTGATTGGTTAAACCGCCAGTGCGTGTCTAAATGCCCCGCCCCTCACCTCAGAATGCGCTCCAGTTGTATTGTAAACAATGGCATCAATATTGCTTATCAATTTAAGCCTGATTGAGACCCAGAGAATATTAGTGAAGAGGATCGCGCAGAACCTGAGGAAACATGGCTCTTAAAGTGCCCCTATTATGGATTTTTTTTTAAATAACCTTTCATGCAGTGTGTAACACAGCTCTAAGTGAATGAAAACATCCTGCAAAGTTTTTAAATCTGAAAGTGCACCGTGTATAAAGTTATTGTCTCTCACAAGAAAGAGTCGACTCTGAATCATTGAAACGAGTCGTTTTTAAAACGAATCCCAAGCCGTTTCATGTTGAAGTCAACGTGAAACATTAGCATATTACCCACCCACTTGTTGGTCTTTTCGCGTTGGTCTGAATGAAAATGCAAATTCATTCTTTGCCACTAGGTGCCGCTTTTGGAGCAGTAAAAATAGCAGTTTCCCCGGTAACGCTGTACACAAAGCAGCACTGTGCTCACAAACGCTGCTTTATGTGTAACGCTGCTCTGGTGTAATTTGAACGGGAGCAGGTGGTCTAACAATATCCAGTTCCCGACGTCCATTTCGAACAGCATATCTGGGCTTTATTCTTATTGACCACCGGTACAGCTTGAGCTCAGGACTGTTATGCACGCATGCTTTAAACGTCACGCGTTTTATTTGCGTGGTCTGTGCACAGCATGTGCATAACGATGCTCAGAGCAGGCTGTACCTGTGGTAAATATACGGCCCTCAGACAGAACAGGCAGGCTGTCGATGAGTGACAGCAGAATAAGGATGGAGCGAAGTGTGGATGCGCTGTCCTTGAAGGATGTTCAACTCAGTTTCAAATACAAATTTTTGGACAACATTTTTATTTTCTCTGACACTTTTTTTCCTACTATGATGCATAAAATATTAAACGAATTTTGTGTCTTAAGATAATTCATATAAATTCAATTCAAAGTCAATAAATTCAAGACTCTTGACAAGACGAATAAAATAACATACAATTTTGTGCAGACTACACTTTTATTAGTCAGCCTATCTCTCTTTCTTTCAGTTGCGGAAATGTAAATGTGAGATTCTGGAAATGAGATCTAAATTTAGCGGGAACGGTCGGGTCGGGAAGAAAATGATTCTAAGCGGACAGCGGGTGAACAAAGAGTGAATATATAGCGGGAGCGGGTGGGTGCAGAATATAACCTTGCGGGAGCAGGACTAAAAAAACAGTCCCGCGCAGACCTCTACAACATGGGTCTAAAGTGACCAGTGACCAGATCTTTGCAAGAAATTAATTTCATCATTCAGTATTCCAGGAATTCCTCAATTAACTTGTTTTTGATCGTCACAAATCATTATTTTCATTTTTCCTTTCGAGTCGGGAAGAAAATGATTCTAAGCGGACAGCGGGTGAACAAAGAGTGAATATATAGCGGGAGCGGGTGGGTGCAGAATATAACCTTGCGGGAGCAGGACTAAAAAAACAGTCCCGCGCAGACCTCTACAACATGGGTCTAAAGTGACCAGTGACCAGATCTTTGCAAGAAATTAATTTCATCATTCAGTATTCCAGGAATTCCTCAATTAACTTGTTTTTGATCGTCACAAATCATTATTTTCATTTTTCCTTTCTTACTTTTTTAATAAAAATCATTATTGTATCACTACGCTTCTGATGCACAACATGGGTCTAAAATGACCCGTACTCATTTCCTATGTTAATTCAGTTATGGATGAGTGTTTCTTTGCTGAATCGCTGAAAGAAATGTTTCTTATCATTTATTATTCTAGGTATTCATTATATATATTGTTTTTAATTTGCACAAATCATTGTTTATTTGTCCTTTTTTACTTTATAAACAAACACAGTTTTTGTATTTCTACATCACGTTTACACACATGGGTCAAAAATGACCCATATAGAAACCTTTGATATTTGCACATTTTTTTCAAGTAGGACCATTTTTATTGCCACAACTCAACAAGCTGCGTTTGTATATTTGATGCATTTAAGTCTTATTTTAGAATTGTTTCATCACAGAAAATGTTTGATATATTTTGATATTATATTTCTCTTTCTCACTAGTAATACATTTCAAGATCAAGGCAACCTTAGCATTCAAATATTATGTCCAGTTACCTTGATCTTGAAATGTATTATTAGTGAGAAAGAGAAACATGTCCAAGACTATTAGCTAGCTTGTTGTTGACATATTCTAGCTAGCTAACTTTAGCTAGGTCAACAAAATAAAAGTTGAAATAGAAGGTTATTGTATACAAATATATATTGTCGCTGGCAAGACGGAAACCTTATTTCTACATATTTATTTTTTTATTTTTTTCATAAATCAGTACTATTTGCCTTTACGTCTGTCAGTGTTCCTGAAAAGTAACAGCTCTGCACATACAAGGTTTCTGTCTGACAGTGACAATATATAATAAGTACATACTTCATCAACTCTTTGATGTGCATTTAAAAATATTCTTGTCCTTTTATTTTCTTTATCCTGAGTGTTAGTATGGCTGGTCCTAGTCATTCAAGATTAATGGCTGAAATGTTTGTAGAGATGCTGCATGATGAACAGGATAAGGAAGATGAGGCATTTTTTTTGTCTTGATTCAGAGTCTGAAATATCTGATGCTGATGAATTCGACTATGTGCCTCAGGGTCAATCTGGAGTTGTGGGTGAAAATTCAGCTCTCCTAAAGAAGACTCATTTGATGACATTCAAATTTGTCTGATGAGGAAACTCAGACCCAGTCTAATAGATTGAGTAAAAAATGGTCTTGAGTGAGCATTCCCCTACTCAGGACAGAACAAGAAGCCACAATATCCTGAGGAGCTGCCCAGGACCTGGTTCACCAGCTGCTGATTTTTCTGATCCTGCACCTCTTCCTCTTCGATTGGCCCTCCTGTCTGATGTCCTCCTCTAGCGTGGTGCCCATGGTGCTGCTGGACCATCAATGCCTACACCAGGGGCAGCCAACGTCGGTCCTGGAGAGCCACAGTCCTGCAGAGTTCATCTCCAACCCTAATCAAACACACCTGAACAAAGCTAATCAAGGTCTACGGGTTACTAGAAAGCTACAGGCAGGTGAGTTTTTATCAAGGTAGAGCAAAACTGTGGCTCTCCAGGACTGACGTTGGCCACCCCTGACCTACACCAACTACACTGCACGGGTGGTGAGACCAGTGCATGTCGGCTATTCATCAAGGAGCTGGTCAAAGAGCTTGTCATGCCACATATGAAGAGGTGTTTGGAGGGCACGTCTCGCCTTCAAAACCATATTACAGAGTCAATGGGAAGATGTAGGATACAAAAAAATGAA